CCCGAGGCTTGTGCTGAAGGTGCAAAAGAGCTCTCCTGGTCGGAATCCACTGCTTCCCCAGTCACTGTCAATATGCACATTTGCTATGTGAAGAATCAACATTTGTAATTGTCTGTCTCCTGGTACTAGCACCTTTTACAAGCCGGGTTTTTGGGAACAAGGAAGAGAGAGTGAGCAGATCCTCAATTTTATTTCCAATTAAAAAGTGAGAGAAGATGTAAAAGGGCACAGAACATGTGTTTGGGGTTATTTATTTTAGATAAAGGGTTGAGTCAATGAAAGAGCCAGTGTTCATAATCTTCTATTCCATTTCTGAAACCATGCTGCTCTTTGTGCTGTGCACTGAACTTCAGTTGGGAATTCAGAAATGAGCAAAATCAGAGAAGTAAGAGTTCCAGAATGGATCTGCCACCTGCCAGCCTGCATTCAGATCTCAAAGGGGACCTGCCTGGACTTATTTAATGGAAAGATAAATGTGTTCACAGAACTGTTACTATAAATTCATTTAGAAATGGGACAGAGGCTGCACTGCCGTTCCTCCTAGCTCTGAGCTACTGGCAGATTTGGTTCAGTGTGCCCCTGGGAGGTAATACGTTGTGGCTCTGTGGCAACGTGTGATTGTGATTCAGAGCTCTGTAAGACCCTTTTCTTTCGCTGTCTAATTGAACTTTTTGGTTGAATTCATCTATTCATTGAAAAATGCTTGTATACACTTACTCTGGACATGACAATGCATAGAATACTGTGTTAGAACAGTTTGTAGGTTATTAAAGTGATAGATGTAGGTATTATCTAAAAGATACTGTGGTCAAAGAAGGGGGAAGCATAAATGTATTGACTACAATCAGAATGTGCAAGTGAGAAAGAACACAAAATCACTAGTATTTAATATGGGGGGATTCTAGATAATTCTAAAGAATAATAAAATCAATGTACCATCTTCTCTCAAAAATATATGCTCTTTCGATTTTGAATAGCGCCTTAAGGTAAAATTTGTCACATTTTTGTTTAGGATATCAAATTATATAGTTGTATGAATCTATGGAATATTTTCATCCAATCAAGCTGTGAACATAACTGCATATTATTAAATTCAATGTCAGATGTACTGGGAACAAGGTAGGGTTTCTATTCCCGTAAAGAGTCACCGTCTCAGAAACTCCTAGGGGCAGTTCTGCTCTTTGGTTCTCTATGAGTTGGCCTCAACTCAATGGCAATGAGTTTGGTTTAGTTGGATGTGCTTGTACACTAGGTCAAGAATCCTAATATGCAAAAATGCTTAAGCTAAAAGTGGAAAATTATTACAAATGGCATGCTGCTTGTTACAATAGAGAAAATGCATTAGAAAAACCAGTGTCCCAGGTTCTCTCGGGCAAAAATTGACAGGAATCAAGATACCATACTACCAGGCATAAAGAAGACTTCCGAAGTATGCTGCCTCCTTAGAAGGGATTGTGTGTGTGTGTGTGTAATGGTTTTTGCCAAGGAAAGTTTTTAACATATCAGGGAGAATTACAAACCAATGTGCCTTTCTAACTTTGTAGATAGTTCCATTTTCCCCTCCTCTAACTGGTGGTCCTGTTTCATGGGGGGAAAAAATGTTTTCTCTGCTTTTTTCCCTTCCTTTCCTCCCTCCTTCTGCTTTTCCTTCCTTCCCTTGCTTCCTATTTATTTATTTTGGGTTTGCAAGTCTTAGAACAGCTAACCTGTTCTAAGGGTGTTTAGTGCTGATTGTTCCAGCTATCAGAAGCAGAAAAAATGTACTCATAAATGTTGACATGAAGCAATTACTTCTTAGTACTGGATCCTCTAACAAATAAAATTTAAATACGATTAAATGATTTTATATTGGAAATTTAGATGAAATTAAAACACAAATATTCTAAACTATTCATAGGATCTGTTTTTATTATTGCTTTATATTTGGGGAATTGTTTTAATTATACATACAAAATAAAAACATTCAACAACATTAATTTTCATCATTAGAAATGTGAGCCCATCTAAGTTCCCTGATTTTTCAATCATTTAAAAATGCAAAATAAGCTTTTCTAGAGCATAAAGGAAGTGTAAGCCTCGATGTATCTCACTGTTCTTTCAATACTCAAAAATCTCATCAGTCACCAGGTAACTCGAAGTAGATGCAATAGCACTGGATGACTAAACCAATTTCTGTAGCAATAGCTCAGCCGTAGAAATTAGCATTTGCCACTCTTCCACCTGCATCGCCATGCCTGAAAGGAATTAGACTATGTAGATAAACTCAGCAGTAAGTTAGTGAGAAGGTTAGTGCATATTTAGAATGCATTCAAATATGCTTTTATTGTCTTATTCAAGCCACGGGTTTTTACTCCCATTTGAAAACTTGTTTTAGTTTAGCTGAAAAGTCTAAGGCTACAGTGTACACTTTAAAAGGTTTATAACTCAAAACCCTGGTTTATAGACATTTTTTCAGGTTAACCACCTTATTTTGAAAACTACAGCCTCAATTCCAGTCTGGTCCAAAGTGGCACGCATTCCAATCAGTAGATGCTTGACCTAGTTGTGGGTCCTGGATCTCCACCTTGGACTCAGTTTGAACTAAGTCCATCTTTTTTTTTTCTTCTAAGATGTTTTTTAGGTAATCTACGTTTTCGTAATTCTAGTGTACTTATTTCTCTTTGATATTTTTCCCCATTATTAACCCATATGTTAACCACATTCTGGTGGTTAACACAGTATTTGATTGTCTCTTTGAAACCTGGTTTTTCATTTCCTAGTTGTGTGATTTTACATAGTTAACTTCTCGCCACCATTTCTTTATTGGTAAAGTCAAGCAATAATAACAGTTTCCATAGTATTATTATGAGGGTTAAGTCAGTTAAATGATATATATTAAGTGTTCACATAGATATATGTAATGGTGTATGTTGACAATGCAGTTTTGCAACCTAATTTTACACTTGACATTATGTTATGTGTAATTTCCTTCAATTTTTAAAAAATATGATTTTTAATAATTATACAAAAAAACCCATCAGATTGGCTTTATTTTAGTATTTCTTTATTTGGACATTCAGCAGATTTACATATATATCTAAGTATTCATACTTAAAGTGTAGAAAATAGGACTTGTGCTAATTGCTGATGTTTTCCTCTGTTTATAAAATATTTCTACAGGATATGAATGACTATAAATTTCTCACACCCTAGAATGCATTTGAATAGACAAAGATATACATATATTTTAGTTTAGTTTAATTGACCAAAGACAGTAATATTTCACTCGGAAACATTCTTTAGAAGCATACAGATACACGTAGATAGGAGCACTAGTGGCACAGCCAGGTAAGCATTGGACTGCTGACCTAAGATCAGTCGGGCCAACCCACACAGCCTTGGAAACCCTCTATAGGTGAGCTAAGAGTTGGAATATACTCAATGGCTATGGGTTTGAATATATATATATATATTTGTTTAAATTAGGTCAAGTGAACTTGAGGAGTCCTAGTGGTGTAGTGCGTTTTAATTTGGGCTGCTAACTACAGGTCAGAAGTTCTAAACCACCAGCCTCACCAAGGGAAAAAGATGAAACTTTCTACTCATGTAAAGATTTATAGTCTCCGGAACCCACATGAGCAGCTATACTTTGTCCTATAGGATTATGTTTTTTTTTTTAAAGTCAATTTTTTCTGGCGATCAAATCTGTCTGTTGTATTTGATAAATATAGTCATGGCTACTTGTGGTACATGAACTATGTCCTTTGAATGTAAACTCAGGCCAATGACAAATATCATACTGTTAGATGTCCATATCAACTCCACTATTCACATTGTTCCTGTGCAGCCAAAAATATATGTGAAAGTAGTCAATTGGTATATATAAAATTAAAGTTATGAATCTGACCTATACTCCCAGAAGATCTATGAACTACACAATGCTATTGTTATTATTCTTTTCTGTTACCATATTGCTCTTTTTATCTGACTTCTGTTTCATATTGTTAAAGCTTCTTGGGTTCCATTTGCATGAAAGCTACTGTGTGTACTCATTTTGCATTGCATTGCGGCAAAGACAGGGTTCCTATTCATTTTAGAATTCATTTCACAGCTCACGAATTGTGTGAATGAGAAGAGGAAATGTATGCTTTTTTCCTCCAAAGCCCGCCAAGCAGATGGCCCAAAGTTCATTGCCACCAGCACTGTCAGTGTGGCCTTCTTCTGTAGGTAGTGAGCTCGGCATCAGTTTGTCCCGCACAACATGAGGGTGTATTTAACGCAGTACTTGACAATCACTAAGCCTCCATCTTGTTGTGACTTACAAACATTTTTATTTACTTTTTAAACCATCAGTCTCTAAAGTGACTGGGCCTTTGAGCAGGTGCAACCACGGTGAAATTTATATTCACTTTACTTGAGAAGGCAGAGTAAACTTCCATTCAGATGGAAATTGTGGGGAAGGAAGCAGTACAGAGATGAAGCTTAGTTCCCTGGAAAGGGATTAGTACTTGTATTGAGATTCAAAGTTGTAGCATTGCTTCTGTGACTGAACCCTTTAAAAATTGAAGAACAGATCAGGGTTCATGTCTTTGAGCTTCATAGGTGAACTAACCTCAATTATAAAATCTCCTTTTCTCTCCTCTGCAAGGAAATTGCTTATTTATTGACTTTATTTTAAAAATATAATTTATGTAATCATTCCTTATATTGACAATTCTATTCAATGTGTCTGAGAGGGTAAAGTGTGAGATAGTCAGAGAGGAGATTAACAAAGGAGAAGAACGAAAAAGACCTGAATATCTTTATGTTTTCTATATCAAGATATTCCAGGACAATATAAACATGGGAATGGGAGAGGTGGGTCACATGTTCTAAGGGTGCTAATATAGTAATTTGATCACTGTGACTTGTTTAAGAGGTTGAAGATGGTTTTTGATATCGGGCAAAGGAAAACCACGTGTTCTACAGGTTTCACACGCCGCATTGACTGCTGTTCATTTGGGGGTTTGCTTCTCTTTCAGACTGATGCAGCTCTGATGTACGATGCTGTGCATGTGGTGTCCGTGGCCGTCCAGCAGTTTCCCCAGATGACAGTCAGCTCCTTACAGTGTAATCGGCACAAACCCTGGCGTTTTGGGACCCGCTTTATGAGCCTCATTAAAGAGGTAGGGGAAGAGTATGCTTGGTCTCCTTGGGCCTCGATCAGAATGAATACAGGGATGTTAGGTTTTCCTAGCCCGTGATCTTACACTTTCATCACTTAAATTGCACTTTTTGTTTGTTTGTTTCTGTCCACCTTCCACATAAGCACAATTAATATTGAAAAATAAAGAGTAAGGGGCCAGTGAGGAAAATTGTGTCATAAATATATGGCCTATTTGGAATATCTGCAATGGTCTGAACAGATAACATCTGTGACATATGAGAGCTGGCCCCATGAGAATCTTAGTGTTAGTTAACCTGCAGTCCTATACTCACAGATGTTTAAGCAGGATGGGTTGTATTTTAGGCAGGCAGAATATATATGCATTGCATTTTTAAGACTAATGTAAGTTGCACTGTATTTAAATGTATGCCCAATTTACAGACCTTATAATACATGCATTTAAATATATGATTCCAAAATAGAATATCTACTTATTTTATTATACTAACAGTTAATATCAAGTGGGATATATGGATTCATAAAAGTGCTTAGTTTACAACATATTGTAGAAAACAGCTATTCTTATGACTGTGCATCATTTCTGTATGACTGTTATTGTAATACATCAAATTGTGTGTGGGGTGGAAAAAAAAGGAGGAAAATTCTTATAGATAAATCCATCTTGTTTGTAAATAGGTAGGTAAGTAGATCACTAGATTTCCTGTTTCATCAGGAAATTCTTGCAGCAGATTAGCATACTCTTCATTTGATTACAGAAGGAATTGTCATTATGTGAATATTTAACTAAGCCTTATGCTCTACTACAAAAATTCATTTTTTGTTTTTGTTTTTTGCTTAGAATTATTTTATTTTCCATTTTATTTTTAAACAGCTTTGCTGGCACACACTCCATATCATCATACAATTCAACAGTTCAGTCTTATCAAGAAGAGTTGTGCAATCATTACTGCAATCAATATTAAAACATTTTCTTCTTTCTTATACTCATTGCTGTTAGCTCCCCATTAAAAACTAGAACTTTAAAATGAGTCGAAATGGAGATTAAATCATAAGGTACTAATTTTTAAAATTAGATATTATAATTTTGTTTATATCTTTTGTTATGATTTAACAAGTGATCAGTTAATCTTATACTGAATAAATAATAGTAAGTCTAAAAACACAATAAAAAATATATCAGAATATCAAGACCTTGAAAAAATAGATTCAAGTATTTTCATTTGATTCTTATCAAACGTTCATTGAATGAAAATATTCATTTAATTTGTATGTTTTTCATCCACTACTTTTTTATATCTGATTTATAGCTGAGCATCAAAGAGCTGGAAACATAATTCACAGGTTTAGTTATTTGATAATTTTCATTTCTGATCTAGCACTTTAGCTTTGAGGGCTTGGCATGTGTCAAGCAACTTAGGAGAAATAACTTATGAAACTTGCTATTGTGTTTATTGTAGGGTGTTATTGTGGAGTTTGTCCATTAAATCAGATGGTCCCCATTATGTGGCTCAAAAGCAGAAATTGTTGTCTGGTTTCAATATCGGGAAAACTCTGTTTCCTCCCAGCAACTGCTTTATCATATGTTCTGCAACTTATTTACAGTATTTATGATTTTGTCTTTGCTTTGTTTGTTAGGAATTTCAGAATTCAGTTTATAATTTATATAATTTGAAATCACCTGTTTTACATTTTTAGTGCTTTCTCTATCCCTGATCGTTCTCCATCCCTGAATATTGTTTCAAATTCTACACTTCTATTTCTGTATTATTTAATTTTTTTGTGTATGCTTAATACTGTTCGTTTTTCTTGCTTTTTGGAATAAATGGGTTAAAATTTCCATTTCTTCATAAGTGAAGATCAATTGACATGTTTAACAGTATTCGTGACACAATTCCTTATTCATATAAATTCGTATTAGAATTTTCTATTTAATTTCCTCTGTGTTATTCTACAAATGTTTAGGAGTTCCCACATATAACTGAAAAATATGTGCACTCTATGTTATGGTATGTCAAATGTGGCAATAATTACATGAATTTTCATTCTGTTGAAATGCCACTCTTAACTTACTGGATTTGACTTCTTTGGAAGTATGCAAGTTTAAGCATTACGTTTTTGGGCATATGTTACATCCTTGAAAGTTTTCACATGTGACTATTTTACCAAGCTCGTTACAGCGCAATATCTCATTTTGGACATATAGCTAGCAGGGCGGAGGCCATCATTTTTCAGTCAATGTGTCATATACATTGGTTTGTGTTGCCGTGATGCTGGAAGCTATGTCAATGGCATTGCAAATACCAGTAGGAACATTTAAAGTGAACCGGTTTTAGCAGAGCTTCAAGACTGAAAGGGACTATTAAGAAGAAATAGTTTGTCAACTTCAGAGGAATGAGCCACTGAAAAAGCCTACGGCAGCATGCAAACGTTGGCAGTTACTGAAAACCTAATGAATAAAAGCAGAATGTGGGCAGAGAGCTTGTCAGAAGGTTAGCCCCTCAGGTCAGAAGTCATTCAATAGATGCCTGAGGCAAAGCTGCATCTCCATGTAGAGCTGATCATTACCAAATGGATGAAGTAAAAGCCTCTGAGACTCTCATTGCTGACTCAAAATGTGTAGAAAAAACTACAAACATCAATTAGTAATTGGAACTTGGAATGTACAAAGTATGAATTAAGGAAAATTGGAAATTATTAAAAATAAAATGAAAACGTAAAGTTTGGTATTCTGGCTATTAATGTGCTGAAGTGGATTGGCATGGGCCATTTTGAACCAGATAATCATATGGCTTTCCATACCAGGATTGACACAAAAAAGAACAATGTCATTACATTTGTTGTCAAAGGGACATTTCAAGATCTGTCTTGAAGACAATGCTGTCTGCTACAGGTTAATATTTATCTAAATACAAGGTACTCCAGTCAATAAAATTATTACTCAAATGTATGCACCATTCACTAAGGCTAACGATGCAGAAATTGTAGAATGTTATGAATATCTTCATTCTGAAAATGATCAAACATGCAGTCAACTTGTATTGATAATTATTGGGGATGAGCATGCAAAAGTTTGAAATAAAGAGGAAAGAGCAGTAATTGGCAAGTATGGGCATGTTGAGAGAAACAAAGCTGGAGATCCCATAAAGAATTTTGCATGACTAACAACTTCTGCATCTCAAATAGCAATTTTTTACAACTAAAATGGCAATTTATACATGTGGACTTCTCAGATGGAATACATAAAAATAACATCGATTCTATCTGTGGGAAGAGATGATGGAGATGCTGAATGTCATCAGCTAAAACCAGGCCAGGGGCCAACTGTTTAAGTTCAGGTTGAAGTTGGAAGTAATGAGAAATCCACAACAGCCAAAACACAACCTAGTATATCCCGCCCAAGTTTCAAGAACATCTCAAAAATAGAGTTATGCAATTAAACTGGTGTTGGGAGACCTGATGAGCTGTGGGATGACATTGATTACTTACAAAGAAAGAAAAGGTCATTAGAAAGACAAGAAAAAAAGAAAAGATAAAAATTAGATATCAGAAGACTATGAAATATGCTATTAATATCGAATAGCTAAGGCAAGTAAAGAAATGATGGCATCAAACTTTGAACAGAAAATTTCAAAGAGCCACTCATAAAGGAAAAATAAACTATTGTCATATATGTGTAAGGACATAGAGAAAGACAACAACAAAGGAAGAAGGCGCGCAGAGCATCTGGAACTGGAAGAAGTCAAGCAGAGGGTCGAGTTGCAACACCAGAAGGTTCTCTGGGCAAACTACTGCACGGCGCAGGACACATCGAAAGAAGATGAAAGGAGTACACACAGTTATGCACCAAAAAGAACTAGTCAGCAGTTAGCCGCTTCACAAGGTCGCATATGACCAAGAACCAGTGGCACTGTTGGGCCACTTCCAAACTGCATTGGAAGCAACAGGCAAAAGCAGGGCTCCAGGATGTGATAGAACACCAATTGAAGTGTTTCAACTGGCTGGTTGGCACACTGGAAGCACTCACTCATCTATGCCAAGAAATTTGGAAGACAATTGCTTGGTAGACTGACAGGAAGGGATCCGTAGTTGTACCCATTCCAAAGACAGTTTACTCAACAGAATGATCGAATTAAAAAACAATATTGTTGGTGTCGCATGCAAGAGAAGTTTTGATGAGCCATCCAACAATGGTTGCAGCTGTACATTGACCAGAGCTGCCAAATGTTCAGAAGAGGATGCCCAACAAGGGAAATCATTGCTGACGTCAGATGTGCAAGTAGAGAATACCGCAAAGATGTTACATGTGTTTCACTGAACATGCCAAGGCATTTTACTGTGTGGATCATAACAAACTGGATAAACTTACAAAAAGCGGGAGTTCTAGAACACTTCATTGTGCTCATGTGGAACATGTACATGCATCAAGAGTCAGTTATGAGGACAATAAAAAGGAATACTGCGTGGTTTAAAATCAGGAAAGGTGTGTGACAGGGTTGTATCCTCCCAACGTAATGATTCAATCTATATGCTGAGCTAATACGAAGAGAAGCTGGCTTAGAGGAAGAAGCATGTGCTGTCAGGACCTGAAGAAGGCTTATTACCAACCTGCAGTGTGAAAGTGTTACAGCCTTGCTCGCTGAACGTGAGGAAAACTTGGAGTACTTGCTGATAAAGATCAAGGATTGCAGCCTTCAGTATGGATTACAGCTCAATGTAAAGGAAAACAAAATCTTCACAACTGTATCAATAGGTAACATGATGATAAATGGAGAAAAGGTTGAAGTTGTCAAGGATTTCATCTTGCTTGGATCCACAATCAGTGCCCAGGGAGGCAGCAGTCAAGTGATCAAACAGTGCATTACATTAGGTAAAGTTGCTGCACGAAACCTATATACGGTCTTGAAAAGTAAGGGTGTTACTTTGAGAAGGAAGGTATACCTGACCTAAGCCAGAATATTTTCATTGCCTCATATGCATGTGAAAGTTGGACACTAAATAAAGAAGATGGAAGAAAAGCTGATGTATTTGCACTGTGATGCTGGAGAAGGTTCATGAAAGTGCCGTGATCTTCCAAGAGAACAGTCAGATCTGTCTGGGGAGAGTTACATCCAGAATGTCCCTTAGAAGCAAGGATGGCATGACTTCCTCTCACGTATTTTGGACATGTTATCAGGAGAGAGCAGTCCCTAGAGAAGGACGTCATGCTGGGTAAAGTGCAGGGACAGAGAACAAGAGGAAGGTCCTAGCTGAGATGGATTGACATAATCATGCACCAGTGGGCACAAGCTAAGAAGACATGGGAGATGGCGCAGGTCTGAGAATTGTTGCAGTCTCTGGTACCTGGGGTTGCTATGAGCCGGAACTGGTTCAACAGCTCCTAGTAGCAGCAATAGGCTGGGGAACGTTTTCATATATACAACGTATAAGTATTTGCTGAAAGATGAACCCATTGGTTTGACAGATTACTGGAGTTCCAACTATCTGTTTCTCTTCTGGAGAATGGCTTCTACTGGAAGTGTAACTTGATTTGGAATAATTATCACATTTATTTTCCCAGTCTCACTTGAGTAAAAATAATTAGTTAATTATTCTAATTCAGAAGAGTGTTTAATTTAAGTATTCTTATATAGAGCTCACTGTACTTGGTTTCTTTCAGTGTAATAAAATGAATATAATTTTATATTATTATGAATTTAGGAATGGTTTTTTTATAGTAGAAGTTATATTGTAATTTCTAGTGAGATGGTTACTATTTCATATAAGTAGTAACATTCTTCTCATGTAGATAACTATGTTAATTATTTTAAATAGCTTCAAATTGTCATAAAACAAGGGTACACAGAGAAAATAATACACATAGGAAAAGTACATTACATAAAATAAAATGTACAATAAATATTATGCAATGGTTAAAAGAATTTATTTTTATACAAGCAAATTTCAAATTAAAGTAGATACACAAAATATTTTTTTAATATAAATAAAATATCTGAAAAGATAAAACATTTCCTTTTCTATCAAAAAGGACTTCATTTCTCCGTATTTTTACTTATTTATTAATCAACCTCTTTTTCTTTTGTCTTAGGCACACTGGGAAGGCCTTACAGGCAGAATCACTTTCAATAAAACCAATGGCTTACGGACTGATTTTGATTTGGACGTGATCAGCCTCAAGGAAGAAGGTCTTGAAAAGGTACTGAAGCACTCAGCTGCTTATTAGTCATTACATAGAACATATCCTAATAGAGAAAGTGTTAAGCTCTACTGTAGCCACATGTTATTGACATTATATAATAGCCATTATGATTCAAGAGTAATGATTCCTTAAGATAACAGAAATACTTTCACTTCGCACCTGTAATTTTTCTGATACTTTGAAATGTGTATAATGTTAGCCATAAGATTTAATAGAGCAATCACAAAATACTTAGCTTAATATGTGTATTTGTATATGGATCTTAGAACCACCATGGTTTCAGAGAATTGATTACCTGGAGCTGGACATTAAACAAAAAAAGGAAAGAAAGTTTAAGTACAGAATTATATTCCCACTGCTGGATTATATTTAAATAAAATCCCCAAATTGATGTTATCAAAATAAATTAGATGCGAACATTATTGCTGGAGGTACTATACTGCATGTATTTTTTTACTTGACTCTATGCTTAGGTTCAAGGTAAAGTGTTTTAAGACTTGCGGCGTAGTGGGTTACCTGTGGGGCTGTGAACTGCAAGGCCAGCAGTTCGAAACCACCAACTGCTGCTGGGAAGAAATACTAGACTTCCCACTCCTGTAAAATTTTAAAGTGTTGGAACCCTTGAGGGACAGTTCTACTCTGTCCGAGAAGGTCATGATGAGTCAGAATTTACTTGATGGCATTGAGTTTGGTTTGGCGTTTGGAGACTTAAGGTTGTGTGCTTATATCGAGAATATTAGAGCTTAAATTTGCTTAATATTTGTAATGCATGTAACTACCTTGTTCCCAGGGTGAGAACATTAATGATGGAGGGTAGCCATGTTTAACTTGTTTTTTTCATAGGGAGAGATGAGCTAGTACCATTGAGTCATTTCAGAAATAGATATAGAAGGTGGCTTCAAAAAGTTACCCCCAAAACCCAGTTTCCCTCAATTCAAATGTTCCATGAACCTTTAGAAGTCCCCCCCTCAGTAAAGAAGGAGTAAGAGATAAAGTTTGAATGCTGAACTTAGAATGAACAACATGTGGAAATATTTTCAATGTATTTGTATACAAAAATGAATTCAAAGAAAAATCTAAAGGCTTGCATGTTGCTTTGGAGGATGTTAGAACTTGGAATATTTTTAGTATGTGGCCTAAACTATTCTTGGTTATAATGAGGGATGAGTAAACGAAAACAGATGACATGAACTGAAACATTAGCATACTGTTAGTTTAAAGGAATATAAATATAAATATAGTACAAAGGAACTGTACTTTTAAGGAGAAAGGATAGCAGGTGGCTGAAGGAGAGGCTAGTGATAAGGCCGAGACTAAAGATGAGGAAGGGAACTCACAAGTGAAGGAAGTTTAAGAAACTCATCTTCCCCTGAGAAGATTTATAAGCAAGTGGGGAAGGATATAGGTAAGTTGGAGAAAAGGAAAAGTCAATGATTTCACATCCAATGCTTTTGATATTAGAATTCATTACAGCTAAAATAAAAGGATTAGCGTTTAATCAACTCTTAACAATAATTACCATGGTAGCAGATTTGACATTAACTCAGTTAGAATAAAATATTGCTAGTAGCACACTGTTCTCATTTTTTAATTCAATAACATAGTTAAGAACTCAAGGTCTATATTCATAGAGAATTGGTTTTAATAACACCGTGTACAGTTTATAGAAAAACTTCTCTCTCTCAAAACAAAATGTTGTCATGTTTTCAAGGAAAATTTAGCACTTGAAGCACCCCATGAGGACTAAGGAGTCTTGCTAATTTAAAATTTTCCCTTCCTTAAATGAATAATTACCAACTAATAGATGATAAAGGACGGGATTCCTACCTAATAGAGTCCACAGGTTGGAAGGCTAAATAGATAGAAATCCAGGAAGCTTGGATTATAATTCCAAACCTGTTACAACTAGGTGTGTGATTTCATTCTTCTCTCCAATTTCTCTCTATCAGATTACTATCTTAAAACAAACAATAAAGTAAAAACTGAGTGCTTCCCTCCCAGACAAGTTGAAGTGAAAATATCATGCTGTCTAAAAGAACTTGTAATGCCAACTCTCCAGGTTAGGAATATTAACTGCATACTCAATGCTGCCTTATTTTGGTTCAGCAATGCAAACGGGGGGGAAATATGTGTAAAGTGCCAGCTTTATTTATTTCTCCTCCTCCAAACCTGCTGCTTTCTCTAGTTCTGATCAGGTCTTCTTTGACTAGCACATTTCAGCTATTCAATGAATCTTCGAACTAGCATGCATATGTAATAAGAATCAAGTTTTTCCCTTAATAAAGATCTTACTTATAAGGAACTCTTTAAGTATCTACAAAGCTTCCAAAGGTCTGAGATTTTTAAATAAAGTATTTATTATATGCAACTAGGGCATATTTTGCCTTTGGAAATGGCCCTCTGAAGCTTAACCGTGCACTTGGGAAAGGTCAGCTTCAGATAGAGCGAAACAATGAGTAATGTCATTAGGTGGTGCAGAGGTATTCGTAGGCTTTTAGAACATGATTTCAAATGAATTCAAGAATGTAGAGCAAACGTGGTTGGAAGGCTTTTGCACAAAATAAATGTAGCCTGAAGAGGGGTCGTCACTGCATGATATGGATGCGCTTCCTTTCCAAGATGTGCAGCGGAGTTCCCAAGGCCATTTTCTGAAAGAGAATCCTGTTGAAATAGAACTCCCTCTACAAATAATATTAAAGAAAAATAAATAATATCCCTTAACTCTACTCTGATATTGTCGTTTTTTTAATGTACATTGTGCGCTTTTCAAACCTAATCCTTAACTATTACACCTCGTTTCCTTGTTCAAATGAATTTTTATTGCACCAGAGAATACTTTTAAGTAGAAGTGTTACAATAAATTTATTGTCCACGCTTCTCCATTCCTTTCTCCAACATCAAACATTTCCCCATAATCTGTTTTGGTCAAAAAACAAAACAAACAAGCAAAAACCAGAAAGACTAACGTACTGCTATGGAGTCAATGCTGGCGCCCAGCAACCCTGCAAGACAGCGGGGAGCTGCACCCGGTGTTTCCGGGGCTGAAGCTCTGTACAAGAGTAGAAGCCCTCAAGACCCATTCATTTGGGACCCAAATCAGTCACATTCCGTGTCGCCACATTATGCTCTTATAAGAAAACCTGGTTCTTGAATATCCTGAGGGACAATTGTGAATGAGAGAGCAGTTGCAAGAGGGCATTTTAAAGGGTCTGTAAGTTTGTTACCTTTTAGAATATTAATAATTTCTTTAAGAGGTATGTAACAAGATTGTCCATATTAGAAAACCTTGCTTTGAAATTGATTGCGGCAGCAATTGTACAACACTGATGGATGTGATTGAATGTTACATCTGTTGGAGTTCCCCAAAACTTTTTTTTTAATGTTACTATTTGTCATATTTCAGTTTCAAAGAAAACTTTATTCCAACTTTTAATACCTTTCTCTCTAAATATTTACTGTTTGATTTTTTTGCTAACCAGGAATATTTTATTAACCAGGACAGACATAGGTATTAATAATCTTTAGTTTTCTCACTAAAGTATCAAATATTTCAATAACATAGGTAGAAGCACAATTTATAGTGAAATCCTGCCTAATTGAGCTTAAGGACATATATCCTTCAGCATCATATTTGGTTTCAAAATACCTTTAGGAGCATATTTTTAGAATACATATTTCTAAGAAGCATTAGTAATTTCTAAAGAGAATTTTATGATTGACCTTTCTCTTGCCTGTAGAATCTGTACTCATTAACTCCCTATGAAAAAGTCTCTGTGTGGAACATTCAGTTTTCAAAACACACATAAATCTGAAAATGCACCCTAGATAAGTGAGAGCTCTTTCAGAGAAGGATTTCTAGATACCTGATCTGATGCATAACTGTTTTTATCTTCCTCTCTTTGATGGCATTTGATATCTAACCCCTGGTCCCCATGGCAACACGGACCTCTAGCTTGCCCAGAAACGGATTTCTTTTGCCTCCTAGTAGGAAAGCAATGCTCCTTGTGATGTTGACTTGTGATTTTTTAAGCAGTCAGATGTATCTTGTTTGCTTCTTAGACAAAGGATCCAAGCCTAGTTTCTTTTGAGATATTAATCATGTAATTTCTCTTACATAGAATCCATAATGCTTCTGTTCTCAAAAGTGTACCTGCATTTTATGTGTGAAGAGTTTTTATGGTTAATTATTTTATAATAACTTTAAACCTTAGGAACAATTTGAATATATTTACACATGGCATGTTAGACTGGGTGCTCTAGAGAAGCAAGAAAGTGACTCACACAATTGTAGAAGTGGTTAAATCTGGTCTGATTCCAGTACATGGGTCAGATGTTAAATTAAAGGCTTTTCCTGACTTGAGTAACCCTTGGGGATGATGAACTCAGAAGCAGGAAGATTGTGTGCTTCAGGATGAAGAGATGGACTAGTTTAAAGTTAGCAAATCAGGCTTGTTGCTTCAGAGTTTAATGAATCAAAAGTTGGCAAACAATATGGCAAGCTACTGATAGCTCTCAGCGTCAACAGGCAATATGGCAAGTAGTTGATCCAGATGTGATATCTTGGCTAGCAAGGAGGAGATGGAGTAAGCTTTCCCGCAGAGTCTTATTAGATATGAGTAAGCCACATTCCTGACAAAACTTACTTTACATTGTGCCAAGGCTGGTACCTGATTAAGGGGATAGCACTCCATTCTAATCTCACAACTGCTTGGCTGCTCATAGAAGCTGAGTTATGTTAGACTACATCACGGGAGAATCCTGCCTCAAGCAAGTTGACACAGTCTTAACTATCATATGTAGTATTTAAGATTAGAAATTGAAAAGAGTTCTTGATGCCACTCAGTTTATTCTTTTGACTCATCAGACAATATCAAAAGTTCAGTGTCACATTAATTTTTTTAACTAAGGAAGCTATATTAGGAGATATACATGAAACATACTGTTATACATTTATTTGATTTCAGATTAACCACTGAAGAAAATAATCCCTAGAAATA